AGGACTGTTTGATTTGAAGATGATGTCGAACTTTTTTTTTAATAAAAATTTAACATGAGGTTGAGACCAAGAAGTTACTAAACAGGTAACGGTACTAAAAAATAAATCTTTTAGTCATAAAACATTTTAAAAATACTTTTAGCTTTAGTAGAAGGAAAAGCTTAACAGGAATTCAACTTGGGAAACAGTGTCCATTAATTTCTCGCTATAAACTTGAAAGTAGCGTCTTCACAGATATGTCCAGAAGGCGCCTCGGCATTCATTGATAGAGATATTGCGACTTCTTTAGAGAAATTTGATTCGAGATGTCATCATGTCGTTCGAATGAACGCAGACGCTCCAGTCCTGCATGTATTCAACTCGGAAGCCGCTTGTGGTAGCATAGTAAGAGGAAACACCAGGCAGTGAAGTATTTTGGCCTTAAAAGCACCACTTCTTATATACATACATACATACATAGTTACTCAGAACCACTCTTTTACCTTATGGTTACCTCATAACTAGAATCGACTGTTTTATGTTTTCCACCAAAAACATAGATAAAGCCATCAAAGGCAAACAAGATAGCAAGGAAGGTTGGAAACGTATGGTTGAAACCGAAAATTGTATGCCCAATGCGCAAATTAAATGAATTAGATTGGTATGCCCCTAGAAATGGGTTTTGTTCAAAGAAAATCTATTCAGTGAGTCAAAGAGTGGGTGCTATGGCGCTGTTCATCAAGAACTACGTTCCAAAACCCCCATAAAACTTTTAAATATAAATAAATATCTCACAAATGCCGAATCAAAAACATACTTCCTTAAATACACTGAAGAAACTTATTCAGGTCTATTCCAAAATGTGAATTAAAATCACTCGGTTCGTAGACTACGCATTGTTTTAATTTAACCGAATGTTCGCGGTTAACTGACATATTTTGAGCATTGGGTACAAACAAAAACTGACGCTCAACTGCGGTCGCTCAGTAAAATAAAATACATGGAGATAAATATATTCGATTGTTATGTGAGGTTTTCGAATTTACCTACATAGAACCAAAACAATCGCTTTGCCGTAAGAAAGACATAAAGCAACCGAAAGATAAGGGGTTGAGTAGAGCATGACGCCAATACGATATTGATAAGACGGACGCATACATATATGTATGTACATATGTACATATAACATTCTATGTACTTATAGATACATAAGTTCATACAAGGAAATTTATTTACTTTTGAAACATATGACATATGTATAGTATGTATGTACATACGCAAAGAAGAGTTGGAAGGTAAAATGTTTTACCCCTTTGTTACGGTTTTTGAGTTTTCGTTAATTTGTATACCTACATATATTGCGGTCATTTAACTACGCAAAGGTTATTTATATTGAAATACATATATTACGTCTTTATGTGCATACATATGTACATATACTTTATCGCACGACTAGTGTTAGATATAATAATGGTTGGCTTAGAATAAGTCGCATCAATGAACGACCTTAAAGAAATAAATTCCGGCTTTTTATGGTCAACCGATAAATATACCATATTAGTTTGAGAAGTAGTATCTGTAAATAAGCATTCAACAAGACAAAATAATATATTACACCGTGCGAAAAAAACAACCAAATTTTTTAAAACACATGAAACTATGAGCAAAATATACAGCCACATTGCGTACGTCGTAAATTAGACTAAAATCGGCATTGGTATTGCCTATTGTCGTGCTGAAATAAGTAGATGACTAAAACTGTCGAAAACTATCCAGTGCTGCTAAGTTTTTCCATTTTAATACACTAGTCGAATCGAATTTTTAGGTAATGTACTTTTCGATACGACTCGACTCTCGAAAAACGACTTGCATTCGATACGGCACTCGCGATGGCGTTGATAATAAAACTGCGTTATTCGTTTTTTTCTCCGTCGCACAAATGGCCAGAAGGCATTCAAAAATGGCCAAAAGTCAACCTTGGAATTTTAATTGTTTAGCTAATAGCCAAAATATACAGTATTTAAGGTAACTGTTAGTAAAATAAAATAATAAAACCGGTGGACAGCAAAATTAATTTTTTTTTCAAAGAATAATAAATATTTTAATTTTGTCTTTTCTTTCTTATTTATAAGATGCAGTAAAATAAAACCCATAGTTCAAAAAACCGCTGGCTTAAATTAATTCGACATCTTTTATTGAGTCAGGTGTAAATTTTTTGAATTCTGCTCGCTGACGTTTAGCAGTACTCCTGTGTACCATCTCATATCACAAAAACAAAACATGATATGATAAATTTGCTCAATTTTGCACTTTTTGAATTTTTGTTTTATTAATATTGTTGTTGTTGTAGCGGCTACAACAACCCCGCCCAGATCGGCTTATATCTCAGTCGTTGTCGTCGAGTTCCACTACCGGCAGCCCCAAGAAGCGTGCAGCCTCTATGAGGTCGGTCCATAGGGACGACGCCGTTAGGGTTGTGGGGTTTTCCGGTCATGCGAAGAGATGTTTCGAGTCGTGAGGGGTCTCTCCGCATGCCGGAAATTCGTTCGGCACATCCGCATTTAACCTACTCGGGTAGGAATTTAGCCTGCTGCAGTAGCCAGAGCGAAGTTGGGCTATTGTTGTCCTGGTCTCCCGAGGCAGATGGAGCTCCGTCGCGTCTATGTCCGATGTTTGTGTGCCTAGAACGGCATTCACAGGTCTTGAGTCTACATAACTCGAGACTGCGTCCCTGTGAATGCCGTTCAGGGCCTGTCTGTGAGTTTTTTTTTATTAATCTTCTTCACTGGCCGCGTGATAAGTTATTTAAAATTTTTAGTTTTCCGAGCTGCTGAGATAAGTTCCGAGATGATGAGAAAGAATAAAACATAACTAACGATTTATCCACACTTAAATTTTATGTTTTATTTTAAAGCTGAAAATTGAAATTGTTGTTTTTTTCTGAGCGCATCACTCAATCACCTGAATTTAATGTAATTAAAAAAATACTTAAGAGAATAAAGAAAAATAAATAAAAAAATACAATACCAACAAAAAAAAAATATACAACAGCAAGTCTAAATTCGTAATTGGTAAACAAATAACAAATATATAAAAAAAAAAAAAANAATTAAAAAAAAAACACAAGTTAACAAAAATATAAAAAAGCGAAGTGTTCAATTTCGTAATTCGTACAAAAAATAAAAAATTAAAAAAAGGCAAAATACAAAAAAAAATTAAACACTGAAGTCTACATTCATAATTGGTGGAAAAATTATCAATATAAAAAAAAAAACAAAACAAACTATAAAAAATACCAAAGAAATAAAAAAGTGAAGTTTAAGTTCGTAGTTAAGCCTCCTCCTGTTGGGCTTCGGAAACAACATTTTACGTAGCCTGACTACAGGCGTATTTTTTATGCCGGCCGTATCCGATTTGGCATTTAAAATTTTTTAAATCTAATGCTGACTACACACCGGGCAACCGTTGAAGCAACGTGTTGAGCCAACCTGTTTTTCTTGTTCAATATACACGAAACAACCGTAGAGGCAGCCATTGCGGCAACCTCAGTAGTGTGTGCTCTGTTATGAAATGAACATATGGGAGACAATTTTCTTTTCTACTAAAATACATTTTAAGCTCAACTGTTTTCAATGAACTAAGCCAATAAACTCAATACACAACAATAAACACGAGGCAACCGACATGGCCACCAACACAAAATAGTCAGCATATTTTTAAATTCGTGATCAGTGAGCCCAAAAATCCTAGAGTAATAAGTTTCAAGCCAACCCAACTACTTTTCACAATATTATCCGCCATATTGGATCCGCCATTTTGAATTTTTAAAAACTAACTTCAGATTCGTAATCACTGACCCAAAAAACTCCGTGTAGCAAGTTTTAAGCCGTTCCGATAAGATTTCGAATATTGGCCTTTTTGTTTTGAAACTAAAACTATCCAAATGCAGCCCGGATCGTATTTGCATAGTTACTTTAATTTTTCATTTTTGGAAAGGTGGCTGATCTTCATATGAATGATCAGACTTGAAAATGCTGCAAATTAAGGATCGGAAATACATATGTGTGTATGTGATAAATGCAGAAAGATGCTTTTTGAAATTTTTATAATTTTCGATTAAATCAAATTGTGAAAATAAGAGTGTTAAACTCGTTGGAGTCACAAAAAAAGTTATTTGACCACAAAATCGACAGCTTTATGCACACAGTGAAGAACAAAAGCGTCAAAATGGTAATGTTTTTTTTTTTACTTATTAAATGTTTTCCATGTTCAAACTTTCTGTTAATTTCTGAAGTATTGTCCATGCTATAGCCAAGTCCGATTAAATCGGAATTTCGAACTTTAAACAAAATGTAGAAAATTTCTTCAAAATTCATAAAATTTTCAAACTTTTTTATCTGAAAATCTAAAACATTTCTGACTATGCAGTTTTATAACAATTTTAGTATAATATAGTGTAGAAGTTTGAAGACCACAGAAAATCGCGTGTTTAATTTTTTTTTTTGAGGACGGTCTTTTGCTGTGTCAAAATATCAATTTGCTCCTCACTGTACATAGTTGAATGTCAGCTTTTCAAAATTCCAGTCGCTACGTTATTTTTACGTTGGGCGTTTATTGGTAGCTTCGTTCGAAAATTTTTCAATATAAATGCTTGAAACTATTCAATATCTTTTTTCTTTCTCTTTAATTATAATCAAATATTCTATCTTCTATTATTTCTGTTGAACGCTTTTACTAACAACCTAAAAAGTTGTTTCATATTACCAATTACACTATCACTATACTTTTTATAATTATTCCAAATACTTATGTATGTATTACACTTTTTCCTACACAAAATCTCCCTGCAGTTCGCCTTTAATTAAAACTAGTTAACTTGCCTTTTCACAGAACTTTCACAAAAAATTTAGCTACAACTTTAACACTTTTTCTTTTCAATTTCTGCTTTTACTTCTCAAATAGCAAACCAACGTCAGTTAACTTTTTAAACTTTTCGCATGACACTCGAAAGTAAAACTTACCCGCTAAAACCACGTCGCTTTGTTGATGAAGTCAACGGATCCGGTTTGCCGCGATTGTTACCTAAAAAAATTAAAACACACAATTGTGAAATTAAAACTTTATAAGATTTGCTCTTCATTCATCATAAAAGTCAACTATTTATGTACTCACTTTGCTCCTGCATCACATCGTTTGTTTCCTTGCGCGCCGAACTGTTCTTCTGTGCGCTTGGCGATGGTTTAAGTATTGAAACAGGCACCAGTCCTTCCTGTACGGCTGCATCGTCACTTTGTGGATTTAGGCGTACTAAACAGAAATCTGGCTCGGCGGCTGAGGGTGCTTCCACAACCTCAACTTGTTGCCCTTTAGTTACACTCAACTCATTGGAGCCGGGTGTTGCAATGTAATCAGCGACCACCCAAGTGCCCTCGTGGCTACCAATCTGAAGAAAAATAGAAAATAAGAAATAAGGCACAAAAAGGATAACTTAATTGAATATGACAAAAGCGACAACAATGAAAACGGCACGATGGCAACGACTTGAAAAAAATAATCAATAAATACTGGCACGTTGAGCCGTTTTGCAGACACGGCCAGTTAACACGTCTTGTGCTCCTGCTGGCAGGCAGCAAGAGGCGGCCAGCAAAGACCTACTATAAAGTCGGTAATGAAGCATATTAAATAAATAGACATGACTACTACATATGAACATACATATATACATACATATGCAACGCGGTTGTTATTAAGTCAAAAAGTTGAAGTGGCATGGAGGGAAATGAGTAAACGGATGTGCGGCAGAGATTTAACTCTCGGACTGGATATACTAGGATATGATGTCTACTTACTAAACGACTTCACTATGTGTGTCTATACATATGTAAGTAAGTATGTATACAAGTCTTGGATGAAATAAATTATAACTGGGTAAAAAAATTAAAACAAGTAACTTTTAAGCAAACGAATAATTTTTAAGCAAAAAACAAAACCGACTTCGATTCTCTTATAAAAATTCCACTATATTCTTATCTATAAATTTATCGATTTTTGTATCACTATGGTTTTCGATATGTATAGAATTTGTTATCGTTACCGCAGCATCTCAACTTCCATTCACACTCTTGTACCTTTTCCCGTTCTCGATCCTTGTCAAAGTGATAAATCCCTGTCACGTTTTAGTGGGCCACTCCGACATATTTAGCTTAACGGATCTCTGCAATCTGAAGCATTCATTCACCATGGGGTGTGCCTGAAAGTGGTAGTGTGGCTTGGAGCAAGCGGGTCACTTTAAAAAAGTGTAATGTTAAAATTCCCAGGTTCTGATTGTGCGCTAGGTAAGGCATCCGCCACGTAATAACGAGTTCCAATAAAAGAGATAAAAATCGTCGGAACAGATATTTTTTTTGATGACTGTCTAAAAATCTGGCCCAAGCGGTTATAGCGCCAAACACGAAGAATAACTTCATTTATGACGGCGAGTACCGAAGACGATGAATGATAGAATAAATGCAAATAACAGAGTTCGGGGAATTGAAAAAAAAACAGTGATTCCGCTGACCAGCCAATGGATTTAAAAACTCTAAATCTGAAATAGTACGATGCGGTAATCACTGGGGGTGAATTCGGCCAAAATCGCTTAAGCGGTTATATCGCCAATTTATAAAATATGAATGAATAAAAGCTTTAACAGTTTTGAAAGACATCATCTCTTACGAAGCAAATAATAATTTTGCAATAAGAAAAGAAAATCCACTTTAGTGTCTCTGCGCTTTGGTGTATCGCACACAATTTCCAACTAAATACAACTGTGCATATAAATATGTATGTATGTATATAAGTGATATGGCACTAGCATATCATTTTCACTTCATCTAACAAGCTGCTTTTCATCTTCCTATTTCCACTACAATGCACTGATATTGGCACGCTCCTCTTCTACTGCTACTACTCGCTGCTGCTTAGTTATTAAAGTATTGATAATGAACCTTATTGTGTAAAAGTATGTGTCCCCAGCGGATTGCTTTTGAAAACGCACACACAACCAGCGCGATTATAAATACCCTACGGGGAAAAGCCAAACAAGTTAGAAAAAATACTAGTTCATTAACTAGTATGTGCCTGTGTTCATTAACTAGTAAATTCGATAATTTCAAATAACTTAAGCCATCTGCCTTTGAATTGCCAAAGCCAAAAATAAAACGCAATTAATTGCTTTTCTTACAAATGTCGGCTGTGGCGTCACGTGAAGGCTACTGGTTCTGGTTCTGAAATCGCAGGTTCGAGGCCGCTTGGAGGTGGTTAAGATTTTTAAAGTTAATTCGATGTAAGTAAAAATAATTTATTCAATTTATAAATAAATAACAAATTTGAAAATCTAATTGCATTGCAAAAAAAACATGCATATAGGAAGAAATGCTTGTGCCATAGAAATTAAACAAAAATATTTTTTTTTAATTTAAAAATTACAATAGAAACTCTTAAAAAAATAAATTGAATAAAAATAAAATTAAAAATAATAAATAATAAAAAAATATTTAAAAATAGATGAATTAAAAAAATGAATAAAATAAAAAATGTTCCCCTGCGCCAGGACTTCAACCTGGGACCTCAGGCAATTCCAATTCGGCATTTGAACATGGTTGCGCATATTGGAAATTACCATCAGGGATGAATTGGCAGACTAACTCATCAACTGGTATAATGCTACTAGTCTTTCTACTACTAAATGCTGATGCATAACCTGACAATTGACATCTCGTAGGACATCGCAATGTTAAAAATACCAGTCGCTAACATTGAAAAAGGATAGAATGAGAACTAGTTCGGCTGGAATGCAAACTGGTAGAATTCTAGTTAACAACTAGTAGCTTTCCCTGCAGGGTACTACTTCAAATGCGGCTAACAAGCTTACTTCCCATGTATTTACCGAGTATTCAGCGAACAATGAATGCTAAATCTTTGTTGGGATATCTGCATTGTTTGAATTAATTATTCATGAGATTAATATCTCAGAACCTATCCATACATAAATATCAATGAGTTAGTGAGCGGGCTTATTTCAGAGCGGAAGTGTGTGTGTGTGTGTGTATGTTTTTGTGTATTGATTAACATGTTTCACGTAGTTGTAAAAGGACTATAATTGGCATGAATAAATAGACGATGATGGTCAATGATTAATAAGATTATTTGTCAAGGCAAAGAAGACAAAAAAAAAATCCAATAAATATGGAGACTGCTACGGACGTAAAAGCATTGATAGAATACAAATTTTCCGAAGAATTATAAATAGCAGCTATTGTAGCTGAAATCCCTCAAGCGTGATTGAAAAGTGGACGTGGCTTAAATTATAGAATAAAATACTGTTTTTGACGAAATCTATTATATCCATTTACAATTTATTTGTTTTACTATCTTTCTTTGACTGCGTGAGGTGTGGCTGCTTGGTTAGCAAGAGGTTGAAGTTTTCTTTTGTTTTAATCTTTTTGCTCTTTATTAAATTTCAAAATTGGGCTGCTACTACAATTTTGGTTCCAATTTGGCTACTTAGTACGAAACTATTTCGTAATTTATCCTACTGGGCATGCAAACGAAATGTTTGTTTTTTCACTGTCAAAATATACATACATAAGTACACAAATTAAACCGACATTAAGTACACATGCACCGGCAAGCATGTCGTCAATTAATCTCCTGCAGATTACGAAATTGGATGAACATCGATATGTATATACAGTGACTTAAAAAATGACCCGTGTTGATTTTGTTTTAAATATTCGTAAAGTTTTTTGGCCAAAATTTTGTTTGTTATTTTTCTAACCAAATGGTATAAATCCCAGTTTCAAGCTTTATAGAAAATTTTAGAAAATTCAACAAATTTTCATCAAAAATTCAACTTTTTAATCTAAATCTTTGAACATTTTTGGGTATGCAGTTTTATAGCCAATACAATTTAACTCTAAAAATCCCACTGATTTTTGAGATTTGTTTCTTTTTGGTGACGGATTTTTGCACCATTTTCAATAAAATCAAGAATTTCTTATTAAATAAAGTGCGGGAGACCGTTAGCAAAAATATTAAAAAAATCAACGCCAGTTTTTGTAAATTGCACTTGCTATATAAAAAAAAAACGCAAAAGCAGTCTACAAAAAAATATAAAAAAAATTCAAAAATCAACGCGATTTTTTAGTCGGTGGACACTTGCACTTCATTAGACTAAAATTTTATGGGCTATAAAACTGCATACCCAAAAATATTGTAAAGATTCAGATAAAAAAGTTAAAATTTTGATGGGAATTTTTTGAATTTTTCTAAATTTTTTATAAAGTTCGAAACTGTGATTTATATGCTTTTGGTTTAGGCTTGGATGATATTTTTATTGAAAAATAGCAAAAAAAAATTTTGCTCGAAAAACATTGTGAATATTTAAAAAAAGTCAACACGTAGTCATTTGTTTGAAACACTGTAACTGCATGTGTACACATAAACGGCAGTTTCAGCAGTTAACTGTTTAAATTTATGACAGCCATTGGTGGTTGATCGCCGTGGATGTAATGCAAATAAGTAGTGGAAAAAGCTGCATGAGAATTATTATATGTATATAATTTATGTATGTAAGTGCTTAAGCTTATTATTTAATCGGCCCAATTAATAAAGTTCAATTATACATATTTTACGTAAACAGTATAAGAAGTAAGAAATGGCGTAATGTCCTTCCAAACTTAAATAATTTTTACACACATGAAATGGTAAAAAAAAAAAATCAATTATTCAGCCCCATTGCGAAGGTCGTAAAATAGACTACATTGGCATTGCCTACTGTTCAGAAAATACCGAAATAGTTAAATCTTTAAAAGTTTGTATTAACACAACTGTAGATGACCGGCCAAAAAAGGTATTCTCTTGAAAGTTTTTTAAATTGTTTTTGTTTTGAAACATTCAGCGACCTATCCTCGAGAATCAGTTGTATAGAATAATTTCTGTCCAGAATTCTGATGCAGCATACGAATTTCTCGAGCAAAAGTTTTTTCAACAATTCAACCCGTTCTTTTCCGGTGTCATTATTGACAGCGTTTTGATCTGATAATTTTTGCACCTTATAGGTCTTCAGCCCGACTTCTTTTTTAAATCTGCGCACAAAAATTCTGACTTGCCAATTTTCTTTCTGAAATGCTAATTATATTAAACCGTGCGACAAAAACAAAAAAATTTCAAAACGCACGAAAGAATCGATATACACACGAAACTATGGGTCAAATATAGTAAAGTTGCGTTTTCAGTTTTTCACTTTGACGTCAGGATTTTTTTTCAAAGGACTTGGAAATTTTAAAGATATGATTAATTCAAAAAATTATTTAAAAAAATCAGTTAGGGAGTTCACAAGGCGTTGTATACTGTCGTATTGTTGTATGTCGTAACCTTTAAACGGCTAAAGCTGTATTTAAG